GATAACTTCCATAGAATGCCATTCAAAAGGTATATTATTTTAGTGACAATTACACACAATTTACTATAAACGTGTTTTTACATGTTGCTATATTGTTACTGTCATCATATTGTCATTGTTATTATTCCAAGGTATTTCATAGATTTTCAAAAATATGAATCACCAGATGTAAAGTTATTTAATCTGAAATGGCAGAAAGATTTGACTACTACAACTTCTGCAGAAGTCTGTTAGTTAACACATCACTGTATGGGCACATTGAAGGTAGAAGCAGAAATAATACTTTACAGTTGATGAACTACATATGACACAGAATCTTCAATGCATACAAAATAATTGTGGGATAATTTAAAAGGGGAAAATCTGTTACAGTAGAGTCTTGCTTATCCAACATGCACGGGCCAGCAGAACGTTGGAAAAGCGAAAATGTTGGATAATAAGGAGGGATTAAGGAAAAGCCTATTAAACATCAAATTATGTTATGATTTTACAAATTAAGCACCAATACATCATATTTTACAACAAGTCGACAGAAAAAGAAGTTCAATACACAGTAATATTATGCAGTAATTACTGTATTTATTAATTTAGCACCAAAACATCACCATGCATTGAAACAGCTGTGGATCCAAGCAGGAGGCAGAATGTGTTGGATAATACAGAACGTTGGATGAGCGAAGGTTGGATAAGTCTCACTTATCTACTGCATATGCAGTTTTGCACCTTGCATCCAATATAGTAATTATTTACAAAAAAAACTCTGCATAAACTCTAGTAGAAATAATAGTTTTAGATTAATGCTATCTGTTAATTTGTTGGATGAAAAATGAAAATAATGCATATGAAATTCAGAAGTTTAAATTAAATTCCTGTGGAAAACAGAAGAATAGTACTGAGGTTGGATATTAACATTAAATGAGGCACATGGTTCTGAAACACATCCTTGATTAAGTTGTAATCTCCTTCTTTGTGGTCTTATGTGTGCTCCTTGTTAATGCAGCAAGTGTGTTTCCTAACGGAAAGGGTTGTGGGCTTCAACAATGGTTTTTTTTTTGTTGTATCAGGATTAACTTGAGAAACTGCAAGTTGCTTCTGGTGTGAGAGAAGCAGCCATCTGCAAGGACATTGCCCAGGGGACGCCCAGATACTTTGATGTGTTACCATCCCTGTGGGAGGCATCTCTCATGTTCCCATATGAGGAGCTGGAGTTGATAGTGGGAGCTCATCCATGCTCTTCTGGGATTCGAACCTGTGACCTGTCGGTCGTCATCCTGCCGGCACAAGGGTTTAACCCACTGTGCCACCGGGGACCCCTTCAACAATGGTGAGCAGACAGGATGGACACCAAAAAGACCACCTTTAAAGATAGAAGCCTTAAGGAACCTTTTTGAGTATCTCAAAAGGTGGTTTTGTCAAATGTTTTATAACTGGAGGGGGAGAAATATTAGTACCCCTGAGAAACCTCCTTACATGAGGGTGGGAGGAGAGTGGACTATAACAAAAAGTAGGCACGAACAGAGTGGCTGTTTGTTTCTTTGAAGTATTAATCCTAAGGCCCAAGTTGAAGCTTTTCTATAAGAAGGTCTAGAGATCTGAAATGGAAACCTTGTTAAAATTTAGGGAATTTGACTAACACCACCTGTTGAATGCTCTCCATGTAGCCTTATACTTTTTTTGTAATATGCATGAGAGAAGACAGAAGCATAGCAATAACAGAATCTACATAGCCACGGCCCTTTAAAACTCTGGATGATAGGATCAGAATTGAGATGCCATGAGGACAACAGAGACAGATTTATTATATCCAAAAATCAGTCTCCTGGGCCAGAGGGAAAGAATGACAAATGCCTGGGCATTTCTTCCCTCACCTTATCAGTCTGGTGATGGAAAGAAGAGGAAGGAAGAGGTTCAGAAAGCCTTTTTAAAAACTGTGTCAGAAGCTAATTGAGAATATACTGTAAGTCACTTCTGGTGAGAGAGAATCGGCTATCTGCAGTGACGTTGCCCAGGGGATGCCCGGATGTGTTACCATCCTTTGAGAGGCTTCCTTCATGTCCCTGCATAAGAAGCTGGGGCTGACAGACAGGAGCTTGCCCCATCCCACAGATTTGAACTGCCAACCTTCAGGTCTTCAGGTCTGCGCAGCCTGCACAAGGGTTTCACCCAGGCATCCTCAAACTGTGGCCCACCAGCTGTTTGGGCCCCCAACTCCCTGAAGTCTAAGGGGCTTGTTCAATTGTCAGGAATTCTGAGAGTTGAAGGCCCAAACAGCGGGAGAGCTGCAGTTTGAGGATGCCTGGTTTAACCCATTGCACCACCGCGGCTCCTACATAAAACCTTGATGCCACAGTACTGCAATGCATCTGTGCCTTCTAACAAGGAAACCTGGTGTAGAACCTGAAAATCTTGTGATTTCTTGGAAACACTGAATTTTTTCGCCACTTGGTGAAAAATACCACTAGATTTAGGCTTGATGAGGGAGAGAAAGGGTATTCTCAAGTTATTTCTCCATAAGCTAAAAAGGGGATCTGGTCCCAGGCCAGCTTAGAAGTAGACTCCCTTCTCCTTCCTATCATTGGAGATTGCAATAGGAACAGTGAGACAAGAAAGAGAGACACAACATACCTTGGGAGCATATCTTTTCTGGATTACATTTCTCAGAATTTTCCAAACAACAAAATGGAATTTTTTCCAGGTTTAGTTTAATCCATCCTCACTTTTAGACTGAAGCTCCTCCTCCTCCACACTCCTCCAAGCAGTCATTTCAAGCAAAGCAAGCTTGTGAACCTACTAGTGTAAACCATACTCTTAGCTCCAACTAGAGAAGATATAATGATTCAGTGAGATTTATTTGTGTATTGACTCACCACTCAGTAAATGATTCAATGGACAGACTTCACTTATGTGAATAGCCACCAGGATTCAGGATTGTTCTCAGATCTCTCAATATCTTAGATGTCATTCTAAATACGTTTTTTTAAGCGTCCATATAATTAATTCCTGCACAGCATTATCAGTGTACTTTTTTCTGACCTGTCTGTCGAGATAGCAAGGACACCAAAATCCAGCACTATTGTCTTTTACACATACCCCTTACTACCTAGGGAATGACAGTGACTGCTGGAGCAGTAGAGGGAGTAGCAAGGAGTAGAGGGAGGAAAGAGACAGAGGTGCACACATAGGGTGCACCTACCTTGTAGAATTAATGCAATTTAATAGCTAGGGCTATTAAATCATGAAAGTTGTAGTTTTACAAGATCTTTAGCCTTTTCTGCCAAACAGTACTGGTGTTATACCAAACCACAAATCCCTGGGTTCCAGAACATTGACTTAAAGTGTTGTCAAACTGTGCAGATTCACCCATACTTGGGAGCAAAGCTACTTAGCAACCTGAAAAGAGGACAAAAAGTAAGATGAGAGGTATATATTTAGGTCAGTGGTTCCCAGCCCTTGGTCCTCCAGGTTTTTGGGACTTCATCTCTCACAATTCCTGACAACTGGTGAGCTGGCTGGGATTTCTGGAAGCTGAAGTCCAAAACATCTGGAGGACCAAAGGTTGGGAACCACCGATCCAACTGGACTGGTTTTGGAACCAAACAGAGGTAATCCTGGGTAATACTAGAAAGGAGACTGTCAAGGCATCTCAGGGATTTTAGGTTGGGCTAGAAAATAATCCTGTCTGAAACCTTGGTGATCTGCTATCAGCCAAAGTTAATAGTACTCGGTTGTTCAATGGTGCAGTTGTTCTCAACCTGTGGGTCCCCAGATGTTTTGGCCTTCAACTCCCAGAAATCCTAACAGCTGGTAAACTGGCTAGGATTTCTGGGAGTTGTGGGCCAAAACACCTGGGGACCCACAGATTGAGAACCACTGGTATAAAGCATCTTCCTATGTCTAGCTCTGTATATAAGAAAGAGGGAATGCATGCAAATACTTCTTTACATGTGTACAAGTTTGACTGTACACATCGTCTATTGGTATAGTTCACATCATGGTCCAATTTTACTACATATACAATGATGTCCTTTTCTATTAAGATGGTAGCCTCCAATTGTACAGATACATTTCAATTGGCTTACTTGTACTTGAGCAAGTTCTCTGTGGTGGCTCAGGTAAGAGAAATAATAAAAATAGAAATAACAGAAATCACTGAGGCATTTAGAATGAATTTCTCCACTTCAGGGTGGGGTGTTTCCTAGAGACCATGGAACATTATGAACGTTTTGTTTATTAACCTTATCTTTGCATTCACTACGTTTGAATGTTATCCTCTTTCGTAATGACTTTCCTCTGTCTGATAACACGCCCCCCCCAACCTTTCAAATTACCCAATGAACTATCCATGTAACACTTCTTTAAAACCTTCATTCTTTTTTCTTTTTTTGAAAGGAAGACAAGGTTCATTCATGCAGATAAGACTGATAGAAGTAAGGCTCAAAGGAGTGTTCCCTCTCAATAAACAGTAGTAAAGTGTCTTTGAGCAAACTACCAGAGTCGAAAGGTAAGAAAGTTCAGATAATTTCCCAAGCACCTTCAGTCTTATTGGCTTCTCTCGGGGCTGCTGTGGGTTTCTACAGGTGACTACACATATGCATTGAAGCACACACCCTACAAAGATAGATACTATGCACACAGCCAAGCCCACAGAGGGTAAGGGGGCAAGTGATCACTCAACAGGTGAGTAAAGGAAGCAAGTGTAGCATCCCTTTTGTTTTGCTGCTACTCTTCCCCCTTCATTTGCTAACTTTGCTGCTGGAAACACTCCCAGATAATGCCATCAGCCGTTAGCATAGCTGGCATTGCTCCCAACCTCTGCCAGTTCACAGGCTCTGGCAAACGCACGCCCATGTCAACCACTGGCACTGGGCCTGGATTCACAAAAGGACAAATGGAATACACTGTAGCAATCCATTAAAAAAAACTGCAATGAACCAATTTCCTTTTTAAATTTTCTGCACTTTGGAAGGAGGATCTTTTTTTCCCCCAAAAGCAATACTTACCCATTTCCTAGGCCGGCCTCTTGGTCGTTTTTCTCCAGTGGCTTCTGCTTTCTGTAAAAACACAGATATATGCTATAGTTTACAAGCATCTGTAGTTGCATTGTACTATATTATTAGACAATCCTGGCGCTTTTGATAGCAAGTACTTACATCCTGCAACAATGTTCATTTTATTTGTGTATTGATTAGATGAGAGACACCAAGGAGGGAAAAATGACTTTGTTATCTATCTTGCTCTCCCCCTGCCCCCTATGGAGAAATGCTGCTCCCATCCTTTCATAAAATAGACTGAGAACCTCTTTGTTTGAAGGAAGGAAATGGCTTTTTAAAATCATAGACTATTCACTGTGTTCTTCTTGTGTCTAGACTATTGATAAGAATGTATGGAAAGTAAATCAACTTACTTGACAAAGACTATCCTATGGACGTATCTGTTTTAAAAGCTTGCCTTTGTTTTGTGGGCCAAAACAAACTCAAAATGTTAGTAATGGCAGCTAGCACATGCACCTACACAATCGTGGAGCCTGGGGGATTGCAGGAAATCAGGAAACACAGAATCATTCGATTCAGAGACTGACTGCTCAGTGAATTTAGAATACAGGTACAAAATCATTTTATGCTTACTGGTTAAGTTACCCAATCTCTCTCTTTTTCTTAGTGTTTTTTTTTGGGGGGGGGGGGTTTGTTTTGTTTTGTTTTTTTGCTATCAATTTTTTCAGCTGAATGAATAATGATCCTGGATTAATTCTGAAATTAAAAACATGCATGTATTTGTGTTTTTGAATTTTTTAAACAGTCTATCCATAAATCATAGTTACCGTTATTCTGTGCCTTCAAGTCATTTCCAAACCATAACAGAGTTTGCTTGGTAAAATGTGTTTAAGGGGTGGCATGCCTTTGCCTTTCTCTAAGGCAGTGGTTCTGAACCTGTGGGTCCCCAGGTGTTTTGGCCTTCAACTCCCAGAAATCCTAGTACCTGGAATTTCTGGGAGTTGTAGGCCAAAACCCCTGAGGACCCACAGGTTCAGAACCACTGCTAAGGGCTCTTCTACACAAGCTCTAAAGACTATGATAGGGAATGGGTTTACCTGAGACGTCTATTGATTAATGCAGAGTAAACTAGGTTTTGCCAGTTTACTCTGCATTAATTTGACACCTGCTAAGGTCCGGACCTTAAGCTAAGGTCCAAATCTTTTCAGGTTCCGGATCTGTTAGGGTCAATCCCCTCAGCTATCGCAGTTATTCAGGCTCCTGGAGCCTGAAAGAATGGTTGGACACCCCTCCTCCCCAAGCCCCATTTCCTCCCTAAAACTTAGCAGAGGGGCCTACCCGCAGCACAGACCCTTCTTCACAGCACTCCTGACATGAGAAAATGGCATGTCAGGAGGTGGGGTGAGTGAGGAGGGGAAGCCTGGGGTTGTGGGAGGGGGTGGGGACTGAAACCCGGGGAGGAAGCGGGTGTTTATAACCTGCTTCCTCCGGGGCTTTAAGTAAGTGTAAAAGGACCCTAAGGTGAGAGACTGTGATTGCTCAAGGTCACACAGTGGGTTTCCATGGCCAGGCAGGGATTTGAATTCTGATCTTCATAACTGTCTAATGCTCAAACAACTATACTCATAACTGAAAGAAAAACAGCTACACTGTAATAGTAATAATTAACATGTGGTCCCCAACACTATGCATGGTCACTTAGAAGATATAAGGCTCACTGATTTCATTTGGCTGTCTTTCTCAAGAAATTGTGCAAATAATTTGCCTACATTAACACAATAATACAGCAGTCCAACAAAATAATCCACAAATTATTAATATCCCATAAAGAAAAGATGAAACGGTGTACATAATGTTGTGATTCCACTTTAACTACTACGACTGCATCCCATGAAATCCTGGGGTGTCTAGTTTGTTCGGATGCTGCAGAGCTTTCTGGCTAAGAAGTCTAAATATCTCCCCTAAACTGCAATCATGGACCTATGACAGTTGGAGGGGAATCACAGTGCTATAAATGGGTAGTGTAAAATAGCTCAAGAACAGTTTTCAAAATCTCTGGCAATGCATACTCCAATATACTCTAAAAGTAACTTTCCAAATTCTTGTTTAAATTGGGTTTCCAAATGCAGACTCTAAATAATCATTGCTTATGTTAAAAGCCTAATTTTGGTGCCCCAAGAAAGGCATGTAGGGAAAGCAAACATGTGACTGGAACAAAGTCCTGTTGCATAGCCCAACTGCACATTATGCACTGCCTACTTTCCACAAGACATTTGTGTGTATGGCTAGAAGGTAAGTCAATGTATTTACGGCCTCTATGCAATCCTGAATCCTCCCATTAGGAGGCAGAAAAGTGGAATATAAAGTGCCATTTGTTGTTATTTGTTATATTTATACTTAATCTTTCTGCAGACCTGACTCATGCCTCTTCCCACTTTGCCCATGAAATAGTTTTGCGAGAAAGGCCAAGGTAAAAGAGTAACTGCCAAAAGATCACCACATTAGATTCATGGGTCATTAGGGACTGGAGCTTAGATGTGACAGAATAAAGTTCAGTAGTCTAAAACCACTATGCCACATTGGCTCGCTACTATAGATAAACTATATAAAAGCCTAGATACATACAGTTGTAGACATAGGACTTCCCTCTACAGATGTTTGTGCCATGCAGGTATATGCCACTGAGAAGGACAATGAAACATGCATAAAAGCAAGGATAGGACTGCATGGCAGCACATACCCTTTTGAGTCACCTAATTTTTTGGACATCCAAATAGGAATCAATTTTTTGTGCTTAATATTTTGTATTTGGAAAGGAACTAGGATGCACTGGATTGAAAGTTTCTATAGTTTGCATATATGTGGCCAAAGAGCCAATGAAGCAAAAGGCCCAAAACTCAGTAGGAAAACCAACAAATTAGAACAAAGCAGATCTCATAAGGCAAAACAATATGTTAGGTTTAGTGCTGTTGACTTCTGAAACCTTTTGAGGCAAGATTTTTTTCCATAACTAGAGATTTACAAATTTACCTTTATTCCTTTTACAGCTGTGATTAAGAGTTTTATCATACATTTCACAATTTTGGGCTTTAACTAATCCCATCTCAACCCAGTAAAGCCTAAACTGTGTAATTAATATAGTGTGAACATGTTTTCCTTTTTCTTTTGGGAATCTATCATCTTAATGTATCAGTTACTTATTGGCAAATCTTTGTACACAGCTATACCATGTAAAGGGAATTCCATTAAACCTGGGAAAATATGGCAGCAGTTTCTATAGTACCCTTTGAAGCTATAAATGTAGCCAAATATCTTCATCACATCACAAAGAGGCAATGTGTGAAAATATAAACCTCACGCTACTGAAGGACGAAATTATCACTTCAGACTTGTTGAAAAGACAACTTCCTTTTTAATCATTAATACTAGCGCATGATGTAAGACTAAACTTTCTTGGGATAACACATTAAAGCAGTCCTGGCTGCCTACATAAAGAAATGTATCTAAAATACTACAGCCAGTGAACTAACACTGCCAGTCCCAAAACAATTTGCTTTCTAATATAAGGAACAAGATGCTGCCATTACCATTTCAAAAACTGGAAGCTGAACCTTACTTTCACAATAGCTATAGGGAAAGGGCTTCTGCTTGTAATTGATCAGCCAGTTTAGGGAATATACATCTTTGTTTTTTCAGGCTGATGACAAGCCAGATGGCTGCCGTGTCCACTCTCATGGCATCTCCTGCCTGTGTCAACTGACTCACTGCACTATAGAGTCTGGTTTTCTATATACCATGATAGCTGATACTTGGGACCTGTTTGCAAATTGTTGTGCAAATCTCAAGCAAATGAGAATTGTTGTGCAAGTCTCAAGCAAATGATATCTGTTTTTATCTCAATATTTTATATGCCACCTGTTTCCGAAAAGACACTATGTACAACTACATCATCTCTGGACATTTTAAGCAAATAGATATGAATACTCTAATCAGGTTGCTCAGTTCTGAGCAGATATTTGAACTATATTCACTCCTCTTAATATATTACAGAAAAAGGAGTCCCTGGTGGCGCAATAGGTTAAACCCTTATGCCAAGGACTGCTGACTGACAGGTTGGCGGTTTAAATCTGGGGAGTGGGGTGAGTGGGACATGAGAGAAGCCTCCCACAGGATGGTAAAACATCCGGGCATCCCCATGGCAACTTCCTTACAGACAGCCAATTCTCTCACACCAGTAGCGATTTGCAGTTTCTCAAATCGCTGTTAATCATGGAAAAAAAATAGAGAAAAACATGTACACACTGCTCTATGATACATCCATGGTACTTAAGAATAATTATCATTCTCAAAGTGTCATTCACAGTAACATGGAGCATGCCCATCCTAAATATTAGGGCAATCCTAGAGTTCCCTAGCGATCTAACTCATAATAATCTTACCTATTCTTTGGCAAACAGGCAATTTAGAAGAAAGATTATATTTCTAGGGAGGAATCCATCTTTGTGAAAAAGTAAAAGTTCCAAAAATTCGAAATTATGGTGTTTTTTCCCCCCTTTTCCACTAAAAAATGGAGCTCTGCGGCTGTCTAGCATCAGCAACATAGACATAAGCCATTCCCTGCACTATTTGGATAATGGTGGTGGCGTCTGTCTGGATAAAGATTGGGCTGAATCTCTGAATTTCAAGCAATCTCTTGAGTACCCTCAACTATGACTTAAAAAGTGCAAATTTGGGTTAGAGCAAAAACGAAACAAAAAATTGGGATATTGACTAAAAGCTGTTGTGTGTTGTGAAGACTGCTAGTTGTGCATTCGCAGTGAGTAAAGGATGTGGGTTTTTTTGCCCATATAGACAAGCCAAATTAGTTGCAAAGTCCTCACAACTTCTGAGGATGCTTGCCATAGATGAGGGTGAAATGTCAGGGGAGAATGCTTCTGGGACATGGGCATATGGCCCAAAAACTTACAGCAAGCCTGCCTGTATATTCAAAGAGAGATCACAAAAAGAAGTGTGGACAAGCAAGCCCCAGATTGAGATCTTGGCATCTGAACCCAATACTT